AGCAAAAAATGCCCACTGTGCATGTTATGCTGTGCTTTTGTACCAACTAACCTATAACACACTACAACTATGATAAGTTATCTCGTCATTATATTACGATAATGCATTTATTCCACTTCTTAAATTACAAAAAACGAGGAGTGATCCCAAACTACATGGAAGCATCTGCGCTTTATTTAGTCCTTTTTGGTGACAGTTCTTTAATGTAATCAATAACTTTTGCTTATTCTCTGTTATCCTGGCTTATTCTAATATCTGTGTTGAAATAAATAATCTATCTGTGTTTTGAGTAAATAAACTACTGTATTGTACGAAATACTTATCAGAATCTAGTAAGAATCTAATCACAAGTAGCATTTTTTTGTTTTTTTACAGATATGCATACCATAAGTGGTAAAATTTTTGCCACGTTATACGGAGAGTAATTGATGTGAGGCTAAGGGGAAGATCAGGACTAAAACAAGCTATATTGATCCTATTTGAATCAAAACAAAAACTGATGCATTGAATTCTATAATTCAATGTCTTGGCACTAATAAAAGAATCGATTCTTCACCTCATGATCAGATTGTCCCTGAACCTGGTCTCCTTACGGTCACTCACAGATTTTATAATCCTAGTTTGATGAGTTCAACATTTGCTGAAAGTTGAGTCCAGATCGGAGTTGTTATTTCGGAGATTGAGGGCGCTTGAGCGTACTCATTATTGTGTGTGTAACTAACAAAAGCAAACCTTTACATCCACGCTCATCGATTTTGCTGTAATTGAAATACTTTTCCGGTGTATCGTTATATCAGTTACCAGCCATAGCTGGTATCCAATTGGATATATTTACCAGAAAACTTTGAAAAATCAGACGAACATTTTCTCTTTTTGTCCAGCTGAACCATCTACTATCCTTTTCAGATTATGAGATCTGCGGCTGTCTGTTGAATAACTCAAAAACGAAAGAGCTACAGAATTCGGGTTTTGATCATCCAGAAGAAGCTACTTTGGAGCATCTTTTTATAAGAGAAGCCGTCAAAACTACGATCGAATCTACCGGATCAGACGAATCAGTCGGGTCAATCGTAAAATAATGTAAACCGCTTCTCTATGATGTTTGTATAAGAAAGAAAATACATCTAAAATCTATCTTTTCTACTTCATTTTATTCATTTTTTCTATAAATTACTTTTTATTAACTCTTATATATATATAACAAGCTTTCGGAATACCATACGAATATTTTTCTTATCAGATTTAATATTAATATTTTAATACTCAAAATCAAATCAAGTTGAATAAATAAACTGTTTTTTTTCTGTTTGTCAAATATTGATACTCGTTCCAAAATGATATGACACTGTAATTAGTTGCCCGAATTCGGGTTTTGATGATCCAGAAGAAGCTACTTTGAAGCATCTTTCTATAAGAGAAGCCGTCAAAACTACAATCGAATCTACCGGATCAGACGAATCAGTCGGGTCAATCGTAAAATAATGTAAACCGCTTCTCTATGATGTTTGTATAAGAAAGAAAATACATCTAAAATCTATCTTTTCTACTTCATTTTATTCATTTTTTCTATAAATTACTTTTTATTAACTCTTATATATATATATAACAAGCTTTCGGAATACCATACGAATATTTTTCTTATCAGATTTAATATTAATATTTTAATATTCAAAATCAAATCAATGAAAATTTGCCTTAATTTTAAGAAAAGCATATTTTTAGATTTTTGTATATTCAGAATACTGTAACTGATTGCGTGCTACAGCATTTTCTAAAAAATAAGCCAAATTTTCATTTAATCTTATTTTCATGTTTCATTTCCAGTTTATTTCACTTTCTACATAAAATTAATGTGAATATTCACTGAATAACTAAAGTTTGAACACATGTTATGACTGATTATCATGACCCGAGGAGAAAGCTATCGTAGTCCAGAAGAACAGTTTATCTAGCTGCTGAATATAAAAGAAGAAAGTATGATTTATTAAACGTTAATCACCAATATTGAGAACCACATATCTCAAAAACTAAAAGGGATCTTTTACTTCCGAATATGTAAAAATCTCCAGACTCGTTTCTCGAGAAGAAAACCATCAAATTTTGATATGTTGTACTGTAGTGTAGGATAGCATGAAATCTCAGTAGGATCTTCCAGTAAAAATCACGGTTATCTTAGTGAGATCTTTTGGATGTACAGCATAATCGACCATGCCTAATATCTATGACTCCCAAACCACTTTTACATATTAGCAAGTGATAAGACCAGATAGAATATATATACTACCTATAATTAATTAGCACAGTTGATGTGTTCTTTGGTGTGTTATATATATATAAGAGTTAATAAAAAATAATTTATAGAAAAAATGAATAAAATGGAGTAGAAAAGATAGATTTTAGATGTATTTTCTTTCTTATACAAACATCATAGAGAAGCGGTTTGCATTATTCTACGATTGATCCGGTAGATTCGATCGTAGTTTTGACGGCTTCCCTAAAAGACATTAATTCAAAAAAAACTTGTTTTTTAAAGTGGGTTTCCGAGGAGATCTTTGGAAAGCGATCTCATAGCTAAAACACTTCAGGTACGAACGTTCTCATTTTTCTTTCTGGATAGATAGCTCAAAGTGTCCTGTTCCAACGGGAGCCAGGCGAAACCTTGATTTCTAGTCGTTCGGGTGTGGTATCGGACTTCTTTGAAGCCCCAGGACTGGTATTGGATAACTTTAGGAAGTCTTGAAATTGCATAGAACTGACGTAATCGACCATGCTGAACCTGATGACAATGTTTATTTTTGGAAAAGACTGCAAAAACCAGGTCAAAATAGAGTTTTATGAAAGCTGGAGGTTTCAAGCTGTTTTCACCTATATTAGAAAGTTCAAGACTCAGTCAAAAAGCATGAGAACGAGTTGAAAATATTGAGATTTGCAATATGTAGGCTGTTCTATATCCTGCTTAAAGAAATCTGTTGAAATGTTAAACGGGCAACTAATTACAGTGTCATATCATTTTGGAACGAGTATCAATATTTGACAAACAGAAAAAAAACAGTTTATTTATTCAACTTGATTTGATTTTGAGTATTAAAATATTAATATTAAATCTGATAAGAAAAATATTCGTATGGTATTCCGAAAGCTTGTTATATATATATAAGAGTTAATAAAAAGTAATTTATAGAAAAAATGAATAAAATGAAGTAGAAAAGATAGATTTTAGATGTATTTTCTTTCTTATACAAACATCATAGAGAAGCGGTTTACATTATTTTACGATTGACCCGACTGATTCGTCTGATCCGGTAGATTCGATTGTAGTTTTGACGGCTTCTCTTATAGAAAGATGCTTCAAAGTAGCTTCTTCTGGATGATCAAAACCCGAATTCGGGCAACTAATTACAGTGTCATATCATTTTGGAACGAGTATCAATATTTGACAAACAGAAAAAAACAGTTTATTTATTCAACTTGATTTGATTTTGAATATTAAAATATTCCGCTTAAAGTGTTGTGAATGTCGTACTCCTTTGGAATATTATATTGATGCTGGAAAAGAAGTTCTGCCGTCATTGATAAAAATGTATTTTTCTCTGGAGTATTTTTAACCTTAACAATTAAAGACAAAAATGCTTCTTAGTCTTAAAAGTGATCTCCAGAATCCACATAACTAACTCTTTCAAAACCCAGCCAGTTTCTTAAGAAAATATACCCTCTCATAGCGGGCATATAGGCGGAAATTTGGCTTAAAATCGTAAGTACGCTTTTTTGATATGTGAATTTCGTCATGTATATTTTCGCTAACGACCGATTTAACGATGAAAACATTTTTTTTTAAGAATTTTTCTTGTTCAGAGAGTTGGTAACGAAATCCACGTACTAATTAGCGCGCTTTTGAAAACGTTGATTGCGTATTTCGAACAAAGAGATCAAAACACTTCGTTTTGATATTTTCTGTAGCAGAAAAATTCCAGCTATCTGATGTTGAAAAAGTTTTCCTAAACTTTTTAAGTTTCGTATTTCGTGTTTTTCTCAGTTAATTATTAAGATAGAGTAAAACTTTTTATATAGCGACGTAGCTGACATTCAGACCTGTCGATCTATCTAAATATATTTGAGTTGCCAGTTATATTAATTGAGATAAAAGGATTAGAATACGCATGTGTCTCGAACTTTCTCTTTTCTGTTCTTTCCTAATTTCGACACTCCCGTACAAATACATGGAGTTTTTATATCTGTGTAAAAAAAAAGCGTTTTTTGCTTACTAAGTTGATGAAACTTTCTCATTTTTATACAGAAATAGTCAGAAGACTATGGCGAGTCGAACCATATATTTGTTTTGAAAAGAGCTCATGTTTTCATGCTCTTTTGTAGCGAACAATGAACATACATGTGTGTCGAAATTATATCTGCTTCCTTATTTCGACACTCCACGTCTTTTTCTTTCCTAATTTCGACACTTCCATACAAATACATGGCGTTTTGAGAGGCTTTTAGAAAAAAAAAGATTTGGTCGCTAGACGAAGCACAAAATTGGGACATGTTTGGAACAAAATCTGTTCACAAAAGTCAGGACTACAATTGGCAAAAAACTGGAACTTCGGAGACTAACTTTTTCTATACTTTTCACTCGTGCATCATCCTGCAGCTTTTTTAAAGCAGTTATTTCGTATAAAACCTTATTTCTGAACGCAGAAAGTACGAATTTCATCATTTCTAGCTGTCTCTGTACTAACCATATGTTTTGAAATACATTTCTGACAATAACTCAGTCAACCTTGAGACTCAGGAAAATCAAGGTTTTCTAAAGAACCCCAAGAAGATTTACCATATCTACAGATTATAGAGTTATCTTTTAGCTCTCTACGCTTAGCTAGGAAATTCTAACCCCATTATTGGTGTAACGAGCATGAACTATATCTTGTTTTTCTTCTACTTCAAGACGCTCAATTAAATAGGAATTTACGTATTTTACGAAGTAAAACATTCATTACTGAGTCGTCATGTCAAAAATTACTGTAGGTGATTCAAAGTACATTATTGTTTGGCTCGATCGATACATAGGTGTACCAGGAGAGTATGAAAATTTAAAAGATCAATTTCGACAAGGTTCACGACAACTGGAAACATTTACAGATCCGGATAAATGTCTAAACTTTATTCGACGATGTAATGATCGAGCTATATTTCTTATTGCATCCGGTACACTGGGCCAAATAATTGTGCCTAAAGTGTACGATTATCCACAAATTTATTCGATATTTATTTTATGTATGAATATTACAAAACATAAAAAGTGGGCAGCGAATTATTTTGACAAAATAAATATATTTGATTTTGATCAAGATTTACTTATTCGACTAACCAATGAAATTGCACGTTACCTTATGAATGAAGCAGAACGATTACAAGAAATGAATGAAGTTATTGAAGCAAACAGACTGATGGAAAGTAAGCCATTTCGATATTATAGTTCTGTAGGCAAGAGAAAAGTATGATAAACTTGTACAATTTGTACACTTATCACGTGAAAGAAAAACGTAGCTTGACACATCCAACATATAGTTCTTCATTCTTTTAGAATTAAAAATGTGTGAATCTTTCATTGATCCATTTATAGTTGTATGTCTCGCTGCGCCTCCGATATATCGGTGTAAACATGTTGCAAACAAAGCCTTCAAAGCACTACTTTCTGATGACACTACAGCTCAAACTCCCATTATACCATACTTTACAGACAAAGATCAGTGTTTTGAATATATAAAACGACATACAAACAAGGCTGTTTCGTTGATGATTTTATCAAACAAAAGTAACGGTGAAGATTTGAAAGCGACCGTTGAGCTATATTCCCGTTTTTCTCAAATATTCTCGATCTATGTGCTATCTGTTGAAACTTCTCAAGATAAATCGCTAATAATGAATAATTTCAAAGTACGTGGCTTGTTTGATACTGGAAACATATTATTTTGTCAATTTTTGAATGATACAGCCACTTATTTCGTTAGCAAAGGCGATCAGTTTCACGGAATGAATGATAGAAATTCAGAAGCACAAAAAAGCTACGAACAAGCAATGAAAGTGTATCAGATAATCGAAGAGGATTTTGAACGACAAATTAAAACAAAGAGCAAACTTCATAGAATGAAATAGCAGTATCCTCAATTAATTCGGATGAATATGACATTTGTTTTCTTCAGCTAGGTCTGTCTACCTGATTTAAACGCGGCAAGACGCACAGTTGTTTGCTTCAAATTTCAAAATTGATACCAATTTCTTGGATGTTATCCTTTCTTGTTCACAATGTTCCATATTTTTATTTTCATTCGTGCCGAGATTTTCCGTTGTTTTTTTCTCAGTAACAATAATATTATGTCCAGTTTGCTAAATCTCCAATCGTATACACACAGATGTACACATTTTACTCGTTATTGTGGTCGTCAGTTTGAGTGGACAGAAAAGATAGCCATTATGCAGGTATGCCATTGCCGATAATGGAACAGTCATATAGCACTGATTACATGTAGTGTTTTGTCTTTTTAAAGTCTGATGTCGCATTTTAATGTCTTAGTTTATTTCTTTTGGTGACAAACTTCGAATGCATAAACTGATGTATAAATTATCTTTGCTCTTCAAAATAAAGTATTTTTACTAGAATGTGCAGCAGATATAGTTTGTGATTTTGCTTCTTTCCCCTTTGTTTCCTGTATCTATTTTACTTCTCTTATTGCAGATGTGATAGATCAGCTCTTTCTGTTAGATGGATTCAAAGTTAAAATTCTTTTACTTGATTTAAATGATCAATACACAACGATGGAACATATATTTACTTATTTTTTTACTATTTCGAATAACAGACATTATTGTTTACAATACGTTCATACCAATACCAACATCGATATATCCTTCTTTTTACCGACTAGCCATATTGATGAATTTTTACCCCAGTTACAAACACATTTAAATGTTCAGTTCTATGTCTATTGTTCAAATGGTACATGGACAACGCATAGGGAACAATTTCGTCAAGCTCAATTTCGAATATTTGAAGTATTCGATGAACAAAATCTAGTTTTTCAATTGGGACAGGTTACACTAATGTATTATAAAAAACTATCAGATTATCATCGTGAATTACGAAATGATGACGAAGCTGATCAACAATTGTGTAATGCTGTACGAATTAATCGTACTATCCAGTTTGAACTAAGAAATCAAATGGTGACTAAAGTTGGCACAAACGTGAGCGCATGAGTATTCAACGACATGAATAACCAACGATTCCAATCGTTTGCTGAGGTGGCGTACATACCGTATAGTTTCCGTCGCCGAACCAATTTGCCCTATTACGTCTAGCATCTATTCCAATGACGTTGTAAATCGGAATGAACAGTATGATTGCTTGATGTTGTAAGGAAGATGAATAGATTAGTTTAAATCTCTAACGAAATAAAACAACAAAACATGATAAAATTCATACATTTTGTACCGAGCCCTGAAATAAATCAGGCTTTTCGGGATCTTTTTGTAAATTTCGTATGAACAAAATGTAAAACACCCTAAATACAATACATTCTAAGGGTTTCAAATCGAGGTATAAACTATAATTTTAGTGTGACACCACTTACTTACCCTAATTCCACAGTTTCCTTTGATACTGTTATTGACGAACCCCGGCTTGTCCAGCTAACGGTTTCCATTTTTTGCTCTTTTTCGAAAAGTTATTGCATTAAAGCTACAAACTAATCGTACATGGTAACTAGATAATTGAGTAGATTAAACATTTCTCTACAAAATGAAAAGTGTCTCGGCTCTAAATGTTGATTCGTTTTAAAAATACAGCTGTTGTACAAACAGCTCAAAACAATCAACAACGGTCAAAAGTGTCACACCGTCACGGTTTTTCTGATTTTTCTTTGATTAATACAGATTAACTAGAATATTTTCGAACTTGACAAGCTATCACATCTTGTAGAGCAAACAATTTTCTACAAACTGGTATACTTGTTCAATTTTTGCCGGCTCGTCTTCACTCTTTTAGACACGCTTTTTAGATGGCCTCAACATCGATTTTTGGGGCTGTTTGTACAACANTTTGGGGCTGTTTGTACAACAGCAGTATTTTCAAAATGAATCAACATTCAGAGCCGAGACACTTTTCATTTTGTAGAGAAATGTTTAATCTACTTAATTATCTAGTTGCATGTACGATTAGTTTGTAGCTTTATTGCAATAACTTTTCGAAAAAGAGCAAAAAATGGAAGCCGTTAGCTGGACAAGCCGCCATGTCTTCACTTTTGGAGAAGACACCTTCTACGAAAAGGTATCCATCGGCTGTCAAACGAAAGAAGTTGCAGGTCTCCATCTATCTTTATTAAAAGGTTAATCAACTTTGCATGAAGGGCAATCTGTTTTAGGACTAGATACATTTGAGACATGTGGTTGTCCGAATTGTCGGTTTCGGATACGCTTTTTCCTCAAGTTAGACTCGACCAGAAAGTTTGGTTCTGATACCGGATGATAAACATTTTGTGTAGATTTTATTGATATGTTCTCTTTTTAAATAAGCATGTACCGTTCTTTTGTAGCATTAAAAGTATTGGATGCCACAACAACATCATTTGCTCAGCATTTAAATGGGATAAAATGTCATTTTTATTTGCTAAATAATTTTCTATACGCTATTCAAGTACACTATGAAAAAGTATAGGAACCTATTTGTTTTTGAGACACAAAACTAAATTTTTGGAGTGAGTTGTACTATGTTGAAAACTGCCTACAAAATATGCCTGATTATCTATTTGGCGCAATTTCATGCCACTGAAAACATTTCAACTTTCTCATGCAGTTAGAAATGAGGTCAGCCCTTATAAAGTCGAGCATTTTGTAGAGCTTTAAATTATGCATCTGTTTACATAAAAGGAATAATTTCTATAAGATCAAGTTGTGAAAAATTGCTAGACACAATTTAGACAAAATTCTCTATATTTGAGCATCAGAACCAAACTTTCTGATCGAGTCCAACAGGATTTTGGACCCCGTCCGTTACGAACAAAGGTCATTCTTGAAATTTGAAGCACTATTCAAAAGATAGTCATAACTCAGTCTACAAACGAGAGTCTTGCGGGTTTAAACCGATCCCGATTCCCAACCCGAACCCGCGGTTCGGAGCCGGGATCCCGAAAACCTTTTTCCGGGTTCGGAGACTTTTTTCAGTTCATCTGAACAGGATCGAGATCAGGTTTGTTTCCGAACCCGATTCTATAGTTTGATATATGGGGAGGTAAGAGACAATTCTAAATAAATAAAAAAGAATGAAATATCAGGAAAACAGACAGGTGTTTCGCACTAGACGTACAATCGACCGCGTGAATTTTATTTTTCTATCTCTACGGATAGAAATTTACTAATATTAAAATGAAAGAGAGCACTAGAAAAAAGAGCACTAGAAGAAAATAATTCGGATTCGGGACGGATTTTATTTGAGAAAATCGGAATCGGGATCCAAAAGTATCCTAACGGGTTCGGGACAACTTGCAAATCTACGAGTCCGGATCGGGATCGGATTCAAAAATCTCGAACCCATAGGACTCTACTACGAACATCATTTTCACTTTTAACTCGCATCAAGATAGAGGAGATTTAGAACCAGATTAAATATTATAATGTTATAAATCATGATTTTCATTAATAAAAGAAATATTATTGATTTGTTCTATAATAGCTGTCAATTTCCGCGATATGTTGTGGAAAATTAATTTGTTCATCTAATTGTTCACCAAGTTTCATCCAATCATGTGCTGTTTTTGTATGATCATTACCAAGTATTTGTTTACCCCATTCCATCTTATTTCGTTTTAATATTGATGCTATTGCTACTTTCATTATTTTATTACGAACATGCTCAAATTGCAATACTTTCAATGTTGTTAATGTTTTGTTTTCATTCAAAGCATCTATCAATTCAGTCAATCCTTTTTGTGATATACCATTGAATGTTAGATCAATAGAACGAATATGATTATTTGAACGAATTAGACGACCGATTTCCACTGCTCCTTGATCACCAATAACATTATCAAGACCACCGAGTAGTATTGTTGATTTCATAAAGCCTAAATTCAGTTGTTCTAATGATGGATGACTACAGAGAGCATTCGCTAAAGCGTTTGCAGCATCAGCACCAACACAATTCGATGCAAGACTAAGACGTTTTAGATATTTATCATGTTTTAGACCTTCCGCTATTTCTTCTGTTCCTCGATCTCCCATTCTGTTACAAGATAAATATAATGTTTCTAAACGATTATAACCGAGTTCGAAATGTACACGTATTATCTGACCACTTCTCACTGTTAAACCATTTGTATCGATGTAAAGATGTTTCAATGTTTGGTTGGATTTAAGACCGTTGAATAAAATTCCACAACCATCGTCTAACAAACCTGTATTTACTAAATCTAATATTTGCAAATATTTATTCAGAGATAACATTTTTGAGACGTGGACAGCTCCTGCTGCTAAGATGGGATTTCGTTTTAACCACAATGCCTTAACTTTGGTGTCTGATATCAATGAATC